ACCGGGTTCATGAAACACCATTTCCAAAGAAGGCGAAACTTGAAGTCCCGAAGTTCACCGGGAAGGAGGACCCGGAAATTCACGTCAAAACCCTCCATCAAAGTGGGCGGATGATGGGTCTTTCCGGGGATGAGAAATGTTTGCTTTTCTTTCAGACCCTCCGCGGCCGAGCCGCCGAGTGGTTTCATAACTTACCGGCCGGTGAAATCGATTCTTTCGATGAACTGGCTGAGGTGTTTCAAGAAAAGTTCAAGGAAAACTGTACCAAGAGGAAAAAGTTTACCTACTTGAGTACAGCCGGGCAGCGAGAGCTTGAGGATCTGACAAAATTCCTCACCCGGTGGAAGGATGAGGTTGACAAGGTGGAGGAGATGGACGACAAGACAGCAATGTCCCTCCTTGTATCCGGGCTCCGGTCCGGAGAACTATACAAAGAATTCTGCAGGAGGCCTCCCCAGTCCTATCAAGAGGCCTATAACACGGCTTGGGACTATGCTGACGCTGAAGCCCAGGTGTCATCCAAGAGGGAAGCCGAGCAGGGCCACTCAAAGGGAAAAGTTTCCTTGAAAAAGGAAATTACATTGCCCGGTAAGATAAAAGCAGAAGTCATGGAGGTAAAACCGGTCAAAACAGAGAAGAAACTGACCGGCGAGAAACAATGGACGGAGAAGTATTGCTCTTTTCACAAAACTGATTCCCATAACACTGCAGAGTGTAACAGTGTGAAGGGGGTAATAAAGCAGATGATTGAGGCCGGTGAGATTGATCCTGAATATCTGGCCCAGGCTAAGCAAAAGAAGAACCAATGGGTCAGACCAGAAGGACAACCGGCTGAGCAGAATAAAAAGAAGAAAACCACCGGTAAAGAGCATTTACAGGTCATCTACGGTGCACCGGAAGGGGGAGATTCTGCTTCCCAAAGGAAGAAGTGGGGGCGAGAACTCTACGTGGGGACGGTAGCCCTCAATCCCCGGTCAAAACAAGCAAGACGGGAACCGATCACTTTTACTGACCGGGACCTCCCCGCCACCGGAGAAGATCACAATGACCCCCTGGTTATAACTATGGACATGGGTGGAGTCGATGTATCCCGGGTACTCGTTGACACGGGAAGTAGTGTCAACGTTTTGTACTTGGATGCATTTGAAAAGCTCAAGTTGTGTCGGACACGGCTTGAGCCCTTAAAGACTCCCCTGTCCAGGTTCACCGGGGACTCTGTTGAAGCTGAAGGGTCAATCCTTCTTACTTGTGAGTTAGGCACAGGAGACCAGGTCGTCCAGAAACAAATGAGGTTTGTGGTAGTGAACATCAAATGTGTTCATAACGCCATCCTAGGCCAACCTGGAATAAACAAGGTCCGTGGAGTCATCTCCATGGCCCACCTCTGCATGAAATTCTATACCCCGGGCGGTATAGGACAGGTCAGAGGAGATCAAAAGAAGGCCCGGCATTGCTACTTGGAGGCCGTAAAGAAAATGACCAAGGCATTTGAGAGAGTCACTTTGGTCTCTCAGGAAGAAGAGCGGTCGAAGCTAGAGCTGGGCGATGAAACTGAGCAGATTGTTCTCCGAGAAGCCTTCCCAGAAAGAGTGGTACGGATCGGAAGAGATCTGCCCGGAGGACTTCGAGATGAAATCATCTCAGTTCTTTGGGAATATGTAGATATTTTCGCTTAGAGTGTGGCGGACATGCCGGGCATTGACCGTTCTGTCATATGCCATCGTTTGGCTGTGATGGAAGGGAGCCGGCCTGTGAAACAAAAGAAGAGGCACTTGGCGATCGTCCGTAGGGACTTTGTGAAGAAAGAAGTCAAGGACTTGTTGGCGGTCGGGCACATACGGGAGGTACAATACCCGGCCTGGTTGGCTAACGTCGTCTTGGCTCCAAAAGGCGACACCTGGCGCATGTGCGTGGATTACACGGATCTGAACAAGGCATGCCCCATGGATTCATACCCGCTGCCCAGTCCCGATCAGATGGTCGATGAGATGGCCGGGTGTGAATTGCTCAGCTTCATGGACGCTTTCAAAGGCTACCATCAGATTTTCATGGCTGAGGAGGACGAGGAGAAGACTTCCTTCTTGACTCCAGAAGGCACTTATTGCTACCGGGTGATGGCCTTTGGACTAAAGAATTCGGGCGCCACTTACCAAAGGATGGTGAACCGCCTTTTTAAGCCACTCCTCGGTAAATCCATGGAAGCTTACGTGGACGATATGCTGATCAAAATCCCGGGCACGACAAATCACCTGGATGACATGAGGCTTTGCTTCGAGATTATGGCTAAGTACAGCTTGCGTCTCAATCCCAAAAAATGCGTCTTTGCTGTAAAGATCGACAAGTTTCTAGGGTTTATGGTGACCAAGCGTGGTATTGAGCCTAATATGGAGAAGATTAAGGCCATAACTGAAATGAGGTCGCCTAGTTCGCTAAAGGACGTACAATGACTTACCGGGCGGCTAGCAGCCTTGAGCCGTTTTCTCTCCCGGTCTGCTGAAAGGGCTCTGCCTTTCTTCAAGGTGTTAAAGAAGGCCAACACATTCGAGTGGGACCGGGAGTGTGAGGAAGCTTTCCAGCAGCTGAAGGAGTACTTAGTCTCTGATATTATTTTGTCAAAACCCAAACCGGGTGAGACTTTGTATTTGTACCTAGGCATTTTCCAAAACGTTGTAAGCTCTGTTTTGATAAGAAATGAAGACGGCCAGAGGCCTATTTACTATGTGAGCAAAGCATTAAATGGGGCTGAAAGTCGGTACACTGCCATTGAGAAAACGGCATACGCGCTTTTCATCACGGCCAAAAAACTGACCGCATACTTCCAAGCTCACACCGTGGAAGTACTGACCGATCAGCCACTTGGACCGGTCCTTCGAAATTCGACCTCCTCGGGAAGGTTGATCAAGTGGGCGATGATGCTCACCCAGTTCAAAATAGAATATAAACCAAGGGCTGCAATTAAGGGTCAAGCTTTGGCAGACTTCCTTGTTGAACTGACCGGTCTAGAGCCCGAAGTTGGACCCTCCCATACGGTCGAACCGTGGTGGGACATGGCCGTTGACGGAGCCTCTAGACCGAAGGGATGCGGGGCCGGCGTAGTCTTCACTACCCCGGAAGGATTCAAGATCTACCATGCCTTGATCTTTAACTTCAAACTCACCAACAATGAGGCGGAGTCAATGGTGAGATGGAAGTAAAAGAGGATCGGCTGGCCCGGTATAGTGATCTGGTCCGAGCGCTTCTAAGGGAATTAGAAGAGTTTCGTCTGACTAGGATACCTCGGTCGGAAAACGCTGATGCAGATATGCTTTCAAAATTGACACAAGCCTGCCCGGAGCATGTGTCGAAGTTGGCGAAAATTGAGATCATGGACGTGCCGAGTACAGACCGGTTTGAAATCGTGGCTATCCAACCGGGCCAGAATTCGGCTACCGGGACAATCGGAGCAGATGATGACTAGAGGTACGATCTCATGGAATATTTGGAGACCGGTCAGAAACCGGATGACGAGGAACGGGCCAGGAAGGTGGTCTTGCGGGCTCCCCGTTTTCAGGTAATCGATGGTCACTTGTACAAACGTGCCATCGGTGGACCTCTCTTACGTTGCCTTACCAACCCAAAGGCTGAACGGGTAATAGCTGAGGTGCATGAGGGAGTTTGTGCGGCCCATCAAATGTCTCGCACCCTGGCTCAAAGGATAATATTGCTTGGCTACTACTGGCCGACCATTGTGGGGGATTGTGAGCGGTATGTCCAGAGATGTAGGACGTGCCAGGTATTTTACAAACATCCCGGCAGACCGGCCACATACTACCAACCAACGTCTAATGTCATACCATTTGCCCGGTTTGGGATTGACATTATTGGAGCCTTCCCGGTCGCCCAAGGCGGGAAGAAGTTCGTGATGGTGGCTATTGATTACTTCACTAAATGGGTCGAGGCCGAGGCAATGGCTACCATAACCGTGCGGCAGTGTGAGAAATTTGTTTGGAAAAACATTATCACCCGGTTTGGTGCCCCGAAGATGATTGTTACCGACAATGGTCCGCAGTTTCGTAACCCCCGGTTCACTGAGTACTTGGCTAGTTTTGGAATCAAGCACAGCAAGGCCTCAGTAGCTTATCCACAGGGAAATGGCCAAGTTGAAAATGCTAACCGGACGATAGTGGACGGCCTAAAGAAGAGGTTGGGAGAAGAAGGCCATAAATGGTTGGAAGCTTTGCCTCACACGGTCTGGGCGCATAGGGTGACTTCAAGAAGGGCAACCGGAGAAACTCCATTTGTGCTCACTTACGGATGTGAAGCCCGGTTGCCAGTTGAAGCGGAAATTCCAACATTTAGAGAAACCGTGTATCAGCCCGGCCAGAA